CTATAATTGGCAATAATATGGAGTTGGTCCCCCCTTTGCTGCTATAACAGCTTCCACTCTTCTGGGAAGCTTTCTACAGTTTTTGCCCATTCATCCAGAAGAGCATTTTTGAGGTCAGACACTGATGTTGGACGATAGGGCCTGGCTCACAATCACTGTTCTAGTTCATCCCAAAGGTGTTCAGTGGGGTTGAAGTCAGGGCTCTGTGTGGACCAGTCAAGTTCTTTCACACCAGACTCACCTAGCCATGCCTTTAATGACCTTGCTTTGTGCACTGGGGCACAATCCTGCTGGAACAGAAAAGGGCCTTCCCCAAACTGTTCATAAAGAGTTGGAAGCATAGAACTGTCCAAAATGTCTTGGTCTGCTGAAGCATTAAGATTTCCCTTCACTGGAACTAAGGGTTCTAGGCCACCTACTGAAAAACAACCCCATAGCATTATCCCTCCTCCACCAAACTTTACACTTGGCACAATGCGGTCAGGCAGGTAATGGTCTCCTGGCATTCTCTGACTCTCAGACCAAGAAGCATGATTCATCACTCCACAGAATGTGTTTAAACTGCTCCAGTGTCCAGTGGAGGTGTGCTTTACACCACTTCACCCCCAACGCTTGGCATTGTGCGTATTGATCTTAGGCTTGTGTGTAGCTGCTCGGCCATGGAACCCATTTTGTTAAGCTCCTGATGCACAGTTCTTGTGCTGCTTTTGTCTATATAGTGTATCATGGGATATACACTCACCATCCACTTTATTAGAAACACATACTATGCAAAAAGTCAGTGTGCGTCCAAAATGGTGAAAGGAGATTTTTCTGAAGATATTAGGTATAAGATAATGCACTTAAAAAAGGAAGGAGTTGAATAAGGAAAATGCAAAACTGTTCAAAAAATAATTAAAAGATACAGAGAAAATGGAGCTCCTAAGCACCATGCTAGACCTGGTAGACCACCAAAACTATAACCTTTAGATAAACAGCACTTAAAGGTTTCATCATTGACACAGAGGAAGAAATCAAGCTCCACTCTTATTTTAGATCTGAAAAAACCTACAGGAGTTTCTGTCCATCCTTCAACTGTGAAAAGACAACTCAACAATATGAGTCTGAAAGGATGTGTAGCTGTCAAGAAGCCATTACTAAAAAAATTAAATAGACTAAAAATTTGCAAAACAAAGAAGCTGCTGGTGTTTTCAGAACAATGGACTGACCACCCCAGAGCCCAAACCTCAACACCACTGAATGTATTTGGGATTACTTGGATGGTGAGAAGCAGAAAATGCAACCAACTTCTAAGACTGAACTTTGGAGGTGTGAAAAAATGTGCAGATTACTTTCAGTTGTCCTGAAAAGAATAGGAGTGGTAATGAAGACAAAGAGTGGACACACTTAATATTGAAAAACATGATATTATATTTAGTTGCTGAGACTTTTGTGTAAGTTTTCTGCTTTTTCTTCATGATGAAAATTCATAACTTGTACATAATAGCTCTTTTGACTAGAAATGAATGAAAGGGTATTTTGCCTTTGCACAGTACTCTACCTTATACCTCACTCTCTGGTCACTTTATTAGGTCCAACTACTTTTTAGGTTCACTGTATTGGTGCACAGTTACAGACTGTAGCACATTTGTTGTCATGCACCATTTACCCCATTCATCATTGGTCAGTTTTTGACCCCAGCACCTCTAGAGATTGTTGACATGTTTGCAGTGCTGGTATGGGTCTATCAGGCACAGCAGTGTTGCTGGGTTTTTTACACACATCAGTTGTCCACCACCCAAAAATATCCAGCTAAGAGCAGCTTGGTGATGAGAAACTGACCACTGATGAAGGGCTAGAACAAAATGTGAATGACAGCAGACAGCGCACAGTCTTTAACTGCACAAGGTAGCAAGGTGGACTTAAATATTCCTGATAAACAGCCAGTGTTTTTGTTGAAAGTGTCATTTCCCAGAACATTTTAGGCATTCCTGATACATAATTACTCAGTGTTGTTCCACAGCATGTTTTCTATTCACTCTGACTTTGATCAGTGTTTATTTTAGAATAGTTATAGAACAAATAATATTTGGATTCCTTTTCCCAGCTTTTTATGCGTTTTAGAGCAAATAGTGAGTCAAAAAACCTCTCAAGTCCATTACATGACATGATTCAATATGCTTCCCACTCAATGGGCTTTTTGAATTAAGAAGTCCACATGCCAGTCCTGCCCTTTACAGGCTAACTCTGCATTAAACTGGAACATTCCAATGTTGTGATTTTTGGAAAGCATGTCAAAATAAACCCAAGCGTGGCAGGCCAAACTTTCACGTCCGAGCTAATATCTTCTTGACGTTTGCTGTATCTGGCAGGCCACATGTGTCCCATCTGGATTCGCGTGACCCACCATATTTGCAAAGGTGAATTTCCCCCGTCTACGTCTATTTTTAAACCAGCACCCTTAGCTGGTCGTCTTGCACTTTAATAGGGTTGTTTGGTCTGTGCACCTGATGTGAATAAAATGTGGAAGAAGGGGTTTCTGGGAAGGTCAGATTGCACTGTCCACAGTGCACTATTGAGCTATTTCTAGAACATAACTGTTGCTGTTAAAGTGTGAATTATACAGTGATATTTGTGGTGGTCCACTTTGTCTCCCTACATGCAGTTTGTAGACACCCACTCATCCAACATTTCTTCCTAATTTAAGGTTATTAACAGAGTCTGCTGTAGTTATATTCTCTACTCTTCTGAAAAGGCTGAAAAGATATTGGAACATTGCCATGATGATTTGATTGCATTCAGCCACAAGAGCATTAGTAAGGTTGATGTTGGATGATTAGTTCTGGATCACAAACGCCACTCTAACTCATCTCAGAGGTATTGGATGGAGCTCCATCACTCCAGAGAACGCAGCCCAATGCTGAGGGGCTCTCTAGCTTGACATTTGACATTTGGCATGATGACCTTAGGCTCGTGTGTGTGCTCTGGAGTGACAATTTCTATTAGCTAGAGGTTTTTACTTTATTTATTTATTTTTTGTTCAGTTAGTTTCTTAATAGGAGCCATCCTACTCTTTGATAGCAATTACAAAATAAAGAACCAACTGTATTTTTACTAATAGGGACGATAAGCATACCTTCGGAACAAATGAGAGGACAAGTGACTGCACTCTCAGAAAAAAGGGATGCAAAACTGTCACTGGGCTGTACCCCTCTTGTCACTGGGGTGGTACCCTCAAGGGTACATCTCAGTACCTTTAGTCAGTCATAATTGTACCATAATCTACTGAAACAATATTTAATAATTATTGTATTATAAGTTGTACTGACTTCACACACCCCATCTCATCTTCACAGCCTTTATTTTATTGTTCTCTTTCAAAGCATTAGATAATGAAGTCATACAAATATGTACTTTTCTCCTGGGAAAAATGTATTTAAGGTACACAACTGGACCTTAAAACCACTGTTTTACCTTTGAGGGCACATTTACATTGTTTGTGCCTTGATCACTGAAAAGTGTACCGGAACTGTACACAGAACCTTTATTTCTAACAGTGTGTGGTGATAAGCTAGTTAGCACTAATACTAGCTGCTAGCCAGCGTCATACATTCAAGCAACACACTTGACAAGAAACCTGCACACATTCATTAAGCTAATTTATTCACAAATAGTTGTTACATTTGTTCTTCACAGTAAAAGAATACACAGTGAGGAAGTCAAGCCTGAGACAGTGTCAACAGTTGTTAGCAGAAATGGTGTAGCACACTGTTTGCATGCTTGAAATTGTATTACACATGATTTTTACTTATCTAGGGAGACATATTTTAGTTTGTACTATTAGAATTATGTGCTATTTGTAATTCAATGGGAATTCTGTCAGTTTCTTACAAGTTCTTCATAATTAAATGGTTAATATATATACAAGATCATTCAGAGTGGTTTGATGTGAAATGCACAGTTCTAGAGAAATTTACCGAGTCAGATTTGTTCACAGTGGTGATCATAGGAAGCAGACTTCTGAAAAGTTTAACGTCTCCAAAAGCTTCCTCATAGAAAGTTATTATATTGTTTCACAATAGTTTTAAGGTATGAATTTGGCCTAAAATATAAGCTATTCATAGTATATATGATGCCGGGTGTGGTAAGGCCAAATTGTCCTCAAAGACAGCTTTTTTTTCAGATTTGCCACCATTTTACCATCAATAATATACATATAAAAACTGAGAAGACACATGTAGGTTCACTGGTGATTTTGGATAGATTGTTCCTATCACCACCACTGTAGTGGTCTCTGGAATGACCCATTTCATGCCATCAAACCACTTTGAATGACTTTGTGTACATATCAAGGACTGAATTATGCAGAAACTTTGAAAAAGTGGTGAAATTCCCCTTTTAAGGACCCTTCCTCCAAACTTCTGTCTTTGACCACCTCCTTAACCCCCACTTGTAATTCACAGCCAGGTTGGTGTTACTCAGTATCTCCTGTCTGTGTGCTCGTATATGTCCAGTAGGCCTATTATTTCCAGCATTTCTCTGGTATGTTGTGTTGTGTGGCTGTGCTGGGAAGTTGCATGTAATTTCATTCGAATTTCTTCTCCAGACTCCTTTTGCATGAGCTCATTTGTTGTTTGTTGTTTTCACTTTCAGAATTCACCATCCAGCATGCTTATGTCATCTTCCTCGGCCTTCATTAAAAGCCTTTCTCTGGCCAATAATCAGACGAATCCTTTCATCCCTCTCCACCTTATCAGCCATGTGACCTCATTTACCAGCAACAGTGGGGGCCAAGCACAAGTCCGTCGCTTGACCGTGCCTGCTTTTGCTCTGCTGCTTGTGTTTTTAGTGTTTAGCTGTAGAGCAGGAGCGGTGAGTGGAAGCGGCCAGCAGGGATGTGGAATTTGAAACATTTCTGATTGCCGGCCAGCCACTGTTTACACGGCAGGCAAGCCGTGACATCAGAGGGGGGAACTTTATAAAAGTCCAGCCAGTGAGCCAGCACTGGCCCCAGCAGCTCAGCATACACTGCAGTGGGACGCTCTGTTAGCCGGGATGGACAGCCAAGTGCAAAACACATACGGGCTGCTGCTGGCATGCGCACTACTGCTCTACCTGTGCTGCCAGGTGAGATGCTTTCTCTGCACCTCATTCACTGTCTAGCAAGATATGAAGTGTCTGAATAATTGGTTGATATTGCTTTTAATTATTAGACTTATTATTGCTATAAACTGACTGATGTTTGTGTGGGATTAACCTCTTAATTTGCAGGTTTATTATTCAGTTATCAAATTTTAAGACCACACTGACTGATGTTTGTGTATTAACCCCTTAATTTGAAGGTTTATCATTCGGTTATTAATGATAATACTTATTATTCAGTTTTATTATTACTGTCCAATTTCCACCAGTGCAGTTGGGATTAAAAACCATCTGTGCAGGATTATAATTGAGTTATTTATCTTTAGGCATGTTATTTAGTAAAAAATATAAATTATCCAGTAACTACTATTAAACTAATATGTAAGCGATATAATTATTATTTCTAAAAATTGATTGGTGCTGCTTGTCTAATTTCTACCGATGCAGTTGGGATTAATGCCTGAGGAACTAATGCTGGTGCACATACAGGCCCCTGGGGTTTATGGGGTTACAAGTTGTATGTTTCGAAAGGCTGTTTACATTATCTGTGCTAACATTTATTGTCAAAGCCAATAAGTAGTTACCAAAAATGTGTTTTTGTTAATGTTTGTGAATTATCACAAAGCTGTGGGACTGTGTGTATACACATGTCTGTTACGTTACTAAAACTATGAATAAACAGGCTGTTTTGTGGGCTACATGCACACTTTATCAAGCCAATGGTGCATTTTTTCCTAATTCCAAACATTGTATTTCAAGCTAGGCAATTACAATCTGAACAGATTGTGTTTTCTGAACAGACAAAAGACTATCTGAAGCCTATTAGATCTAACTTCATTCTGCTGGCTGGCTCCAACTTCGACTTTGTAATTGAAAGCATACTTATATTGCCTCTAGAGTCTGGGAACTCTTACCATAAGTGATTCACAAGAGATGTTTTTCCCTTTTTCCCCTTTCCCCAAAGCTTGTGCCTATGATTTGAGTGAGTCAAAGCTTTGCAAAATGCCAGATTCTCCACATAAAGAGGTTTAAGGGAAGAAAATTATATGTTATATAGTCTCTCAATCAATCAGAAGTGAGCTTCCCAACAGTGTCAAAGCCCTGTAGATGGTAGAGTGATCACTTGGAACACTATGGTTGAGGAAACTGAAGCCTAATGGGCTGTCAGTCCAGTAATAGCCACGTGGATTGGGCTGAATTCTTGCTGTTGTCACTAAAGGCCGTTGTTACTTCCTCCACATGTCTGAATATCAGCCAAACCAAGGGTCTGCTAAACACTGCTCTGTGTTTTTGGCACCTGTGATGCATTTTGCAGGTGTTAAAAATGGTTAACTTCGAAGCCCCAGTGGTGTCAGAAGTAGTAGCTGTGCTGTGAGGACCTGCCCTGCTTTAGAGTAAACAGGCTTCAGTGTAATGAGCAGGCAGTGAATAGGACTGGACGTTATCTAAAATAAAAATCAAAAACAGAATTACCGATTACATCACTGCTCATGAATGTATGAGTTCATGCCAGTTTTCTCCCTTTCAGTCTCTGTGTTTCAGTACTGTGTATAACCTCTCTGACATCACATCTTGAGCTAATTACCTAGCTAAGTAAACTTTAACACTGATATCATTTTTTGAGAAGGATGGGAGGAATGTACATGAACTTTGTGAATAATTGTTTGGCTCAAAATTCATGTTTAGAACTGTTGGGCATGCCCTTCCTGTGTTGTGAAACTGTTAGCTTGCTAACTAGCGAGCTAGCAGAGTAAAGTCATGAAGTTATACCAGCAGTCATGTGTAACAGACAGAGTAGTTTGCTACATAAAGGTTAGTTTGAACATAGCAAACTTAATGTTAAATGTTTTGAACTATTAAGTATTTTAAAGTATTTTAGCGATCTGGCTTATAAACAGCTTCCCTGCTAGAAATAGCAGCCCAGACTGGCATGGCTGGTCACCATCAAAACCAGCATATGTTGTGTTTTGGATGCTGTTATGCTGGTCAGCAGCAATGGAAGTTAATATGCTGAATATGCATTTAGCATGGTTATGCTATACCAGAATACCAGCATCTAAAACCATGCTGACTGACCAGCTAAACCAGCACCAGACCAGCACAAGACCAGCAGAAACCTGCTTAGACCGGTATGGAATTCATGCTGACACGTGGACTGATGCACTCAAAAGCTACTTGAGTGCTAATAACTACCCCTTTGTGGGTAATCTTCAGAATGCAAAATATGTGAATGAGTGATATTTTTCTTCATAGCTGAGGTGCTCTGGAACTGATCTACGTCTGGCTATAGATATTGCCAATCAGGGATCAGCACTGGGTTACTTCTCAATCATCTCTGATGTCTGATGACATTTCCTTATTGCCCAGCCCTAGGACTGATCACAGTGTTATAAGATTTCCTCTCCATCACCCAGGTTTGCTGTCAGCAGTGTGTTGGCCCATGCCAGTGCCCCAGCTCAGAGCCAGTTTGCTCAGAAGGTGTCCCTCTGGTGAAGGATGGGTGTGGGTGCTGCCGGGTGTGTGCCCGCCAGAAGGGTGAGTCCTGCAGTGACGTGCTCCTTTGTGACAAAGCACGTGGCCTGCAGTGTGACTATAGCGCCAGCTTCCCTGGAGAACCTGGAGAGTGTGTCAGTGAGTAACTGAGCGTTCATTTCTCTTGCACTAAAATAGCTTGTCGCATTGAAAACAAGGTCTATAAAAAGAGAATTATCAAGCATGGTTACAGGACCTCACTGTGGGGAGAACAAACAAAGCTACTGTGTGAGGCCTAATGACTACAGCTTAGGCCCCTCTCCAAAATATCTCAATAGCTATTAGCCCTGCCAGTGTTGACAGTGCTTGTTCTGGCTTCATTTACTGTGCAAGGGATACACTGTGGAGACCAAGCAAGAAACTGACACTGCTCATACAATGAATGGCACATCATCTGCAATCCTCAGCTTACTCCAGTCTCTCCATTTAGTCACACTATATTGTAAAAGAATCACTACAGACTCTTGTAGTTCTGTTACATTAGCTAACAGACACTTGTGCTGGCTAGCATCATGCTAAGTCAAGGGGTGATGGCCATTCTACCCACAGCTGGAGAGGCCAGTTGTGCCCTCTTGGGCTGTAAAATGTGTAAGAAGAAGGTGCTCAATCCTGCTCCTGGAGATCTACCACCCTGCAGAGTTTAGCTCCAACCCCAATCTTACACACCTGATCCAGCTAATGAAGGCCTTTAAGAGCAACATTAGAGCCAAGTGTGTTGGATCTGAACTGTCCAGGGTGGTAGATCTCCAGAAGGATTGAGCACCCCTGTGTCAGACTATATAGGGCTTTGTACAAGTGATGAACATTCTGGCTCTATTCAGTGAGTCAGATCAATTGGCTCAGCTCACTGATAAGAGCCAAATCTTTTGGCTCCCAAACAGCTCTTCATTCAGTCTCACTGTCAATGTATTTATTTATTTATTTTGCAAAATTAGCCAAGTTGGCGATATTATCTATCATTTAATTTTCAATATAGCATTAGTCTAACAAGAATCACAAGATAAGCAGATGAGCAAAATGCAGACAAATCAATCAACAAAGACAATAAATACATGAAAACTGCCCAGAACAAAACCAGAACCAAACCAGCACAACAAGCAACAGGTCTGGGGATGGTGAGGGGGAGCCAGAACATTCCAAGCAGATCCAGGAAGCGGGTGCTGTGATTTTTTAGCTACAACATTATATGATCGACACAGTTTTTTTCATGAATTACATGTGAATACACTTTAGAAAGAGAACTTTATATCTGATGGGCAAATGTATCTTATAAAACCCAACTCTGGTCTCTGATCCAACACACCTGATTCAATTGGTCAACTCGTTAGCAAGCCCTTTCTGAGTTCAAGTCTAGTATGACAAAGCAGAGAAAAAATGTGCAGAACCAGGGTTGGGAACCACCTGTCCTCTTTGAGATTGGACAAGCTCTTTGTGCATTTTATCAGGTCCACTTACCATATAGGTGCACTTTGTAGTTGTACAATTACAGACTGTAGTTCAGCTGTTTCTCTGTATACTTTGTCATCCCACCCTTACTTTATTCATCAATGGTCAGGACCCCCACAGGACCACCACAGAGCAGGTATTATTTGGGTAGTGGATCACTCTCAGCAATGCTGTGACACTGACATGGTGGTGGCGTTTTAGTGTGTGTTGCACTGGTACAAGTGAATCAGACACAGCAGGGCTACTGGAGTTTTTAAACACTGTGTCCACTTAATGTCCACTGTATTAGACACACCTGCCTTGGTGGTCCACCTTGTAGATGTAAAGTGGTAGAGATAGTAGCTCATCTGAAGTAATTTTCAGTTGAGCTAACATTAGCATGGTGACAAATTTGGTGTCATTTCTGACCTGTCAGAAGCATAGTTCCTCTCAGTGGTGAGGCATTTTAAACCAACTCAAAACTCAAAATGTAGTGACTCTAAACTTCAACCTAATCTTCATTAGGTTGATTAGGATTTTGCCAATATTCAAACTTGTTCAACCTCACAATAGATGAAGGAAAACATTTGTGTGTGGAGCATGAATAAGTCTAGCATATGAAGTTGCAATATATCAAAGTCAAAGTCAACATGATGAATGAGAAAAAGTATAGAAAGCATAGTTAGCATGTGATATATTAAAGGGAACACATGGTTTTATCCTAATCCTGCTTGCTAATGGCCTTCATGTCTGCTCAGGTGAAGAGGAGCTGGGCTGTGAGCTGAACGGAGTCTCCTATCGGGAGGGTGAGGTGTTCCAGCCGTCCTGCACCACCCAGTGCCGCTGTGTGGGTGGAGGGGTGACCTGCGTGCCACTGTGCAGCGATGATGTCCGCCTGCCCACTCCAGACTGCCCTCACCCTCAGAGGGTGCAGCTGCCAGGAAAATGCTGTAAAGAGTGGGTGTGTGAGAACATGGACAACAGCCTGCTTCAGGATGCACAAACAGGTAAACAACCTTAATGTAAAGACGTAATAGAGCATAGTTGAGCAGAACACTATATTCACACTAAATACAGTCAATCAGCAAAGACATATTTGGTGTCTGAAGTTTGCTTCTTTAGTTTTGCACTGGAGCTACAAGGCTAATGTATCTAACAAGTAATGAAAGCTCAAAGCCACCAATGGCAGTGTGCAAACTATCACACGTGTTAAGATAAAATGGTATGTTCTCTCACTATCACACACGTCTGTGATGAGAAGTATTAACAGTAAAGTTGACTTTGACTTGATGCTTGATCCAAATTATGTGTTTTGTTGATTTTCTAAGTGAAAGTAAGTTAACACATCCTCTACGGAGAACACACTTAAATATGGTATTTTTCTTCAGGTTTTACAGTACAATTTCCATTTATTTGCTGAGTTTAACTTTTTACAGCACAATTTACATTGATTTGTTGAGTTTAACATATTGGAAGCAATAAAATATATGATATAAAATGTGCCATACCTTTTGCGCATGCCATGTTTTATTTATTTATCTATCTTTTTTTTTCTAATAAGTTACATTCAGCAAATAAACAGTAATTGTGTATGAATATGTGTTCTCTGTACTTATTTTCACAAAAACATGTAATTTGGGGTGCCAAAACTTATGCATACAACTGTATATTCGAAATTCAACTGCTGGATTTATACAATAGAGCATAGTTGGGCAGAAAATCATATTTACACTAAATATAGTTGATCAGCCATGACGTGTTTGGTGACGTTTGCTTCTTTAGGTTGCTAAATTTGATTTTTCACTGAACTATCACTTTAATATACACAATGAATGTATGTGAAAGACATATTAAACAATAATAGTTTGTGCTATGGGAGGGTAATACACTTGGCAGTCTTCCTTATTAAAAAAAACATGCTTCTATCACTCATGAAAAAAGGTGGACTTGAAGAGAATGTTTATGCGATAACGATTTTCACAAACATTTGGAGACAGAATTCGCTTTCCCGCATCATTAGGGGATTTTTCATAAATCATAAAAATGTTGTCTCTTGCCCAGTCTATTGGACAGACCAATGCAGGCAGGGTTTATCTGAGGCCCATTGCTGACATTCCAGTCTGAGGTTTTTCACTGTGAGATTTCATTGAAAAAGTCTTGCCAAGATGGAGCCCAACAGCCCAAACAGCGAGCGCTTCCAGAAACTTTCCGTGATTCATTACCGGACTCATGTCTGTGCGAGCCCATAATTAATGCTCAAAACCAGTTGCCATGGAGCGGCTATCAGGGGGGCTAGCAAAACTCTGGCTACTTTCAGAACATCTGGAAATTTAAGCGATGTCACCCAAGTTACGTAAACTGCGACAGTACATTTTGTTCATGTTCTTGTACGCAAAACAAGGGAGTTTACACAGAGTTGCACTCGGCAAGCTCTGCCAAAAAATGGCTGATTAGTATGACCCGGCTACAGATTTTCCATTTGCGGGATCCCCTGAGTTTGTTTTGACCTCATTTGGGCTACAAAGAGGAGAGAGTACGTCTTTAAATTGAACAGTTTTAACAAGAGTTTACTTTTAGGCTATACAGATCACATGGCCTTTTTCTTGAGTTAGCTGAGAGATCACAATACTGGTCAATTGTTTGTAGTTCATGTCTTACTGTACGTCCAGAAGTATTCAGACACCCCTTCTAAGTAGTGAATTCAGCTACTTTAAAGCCACCCATTGCTGATACAGCAGTTAAGCTCTACACACACAGCTTGTATAATCTCCTTAGAAAAGCATTGCCAATAGAATGGGATGCTCTGGAGCAGCCGCACATGAGCTTAATGCTGCTTTCAAGTGCAAGTGGGACAATAGTCTTTTCTGAGAAAGAACTCACCTGAGATGAGTTCATGTGGTTGATGTGAGAGAACACTGAGGATGTGAAATGGGTATTAGTTAACAGGTATCAGTTTTGGCCTATTTTACAGGTGTTTATGCAGAAATGAAATATAGATTAACTGTTAAATTAATTAAATGTTTAAAATGTACTTCACTAATACCATTTCTTATATTTTTTATACAGTTTTTCTGATTGCTTTATGTTGTGTGACTGTTCGCTTCTGTTGTTCACCATGATCAAAATAGCATTGACATCTCAGCCAATTTGTGCTGCGTTGATGTACCTGACTTTGTCATCTAACCTCATAGGGCATTTTTGTGGTGCCTCTTGGTGGGAAACTGTTTTTTCCAAAGAAAAAAAAGGAAACTGAGAAAAATAAAAATAGAACCATAACATGCATGATAGCTAGGTCATCACCTAACTAGCTAGCTAGCAAAACATATGGGGACGTGCCTGTCTTATCTTATATAATACAAAATATGTTCAAAAGTATTAGTCAATTAGGCTACTTTAAGGTGCTCCTTTTGCTTTTTTGTACACACAGCTTGTATAGTTTGCATAGAAAAGCATTGCTTATAGAATGGGACATCTAGAGCAGCTGTACATGCACATAAGGTCACCATGACCAATGTCAAGCATCAACAAGAGGGGGGGGGGTAAAGTAGGGGTGACGTAGCTTTTTTTTATCGAAATCACAATTTGAAAGACTGTCTTCACAAAAAAAAATTGAAAATAGCATTTGATATTTTGCCCAAATTGCTCAGGCCTAATATGAAGCCCCCCTAGCACTAGACTGTGGATCAGTGGAACTTCATTCTCTTAATCATCCAACATCAGTACCTGACCTCACTAATGCTCTTGTGGCTGAATGCAATCAAATCCGCACAGCAATGTTCTAATGTTTTAAAGCCTTCACAGAAGAGTAGAGGCTGTCACTACAGCAAAGGTGGCACAAACTACCTATGATTACCTTTGATACATATTTAGGGCTTAAATTAGGCAGGTTACCTTCTTAAAAAGAGACTTTTTGGTTCTTTAGGTCACTATTTCACTGTAGCTGAGTGACATTTACTGCATTAGGAGCTGTGCAACTCTAATGGCTGTGTTATTTTTGGATGATTGCAGCTTACAGCCCTGACCATTCACTGCCCGCCATGCCCGATTACCAAGCCAACCTCGGTTTGAACTGCATACAGCAGAGCACAGAGTGGAGCGCTTGCTCGCGAACCTGTGGCCCAGGGATCTCCACACGTATGTCCAACCAGAACCCGGCCTGCAGGCTGGAAATGCAGATCAGACTGTGCAAGGTCCGACCCTGCCACGCCTTCCCTCCTAAGACTCCAGTGGTGAGTCCAGGTCTGGCCAGTTCGATCTGGGGCCAGCAAATCACATCGTCCTGCTTTTATTATTATAAATATTTGCTTTTTCAGCATGTCAGTGCTGATGAGCAGATAAAATGCTCAAAATACAGTGCAATACAGTCACTATATTCAGTTTTATTGACCAATTCTGATTTTTTGCACAGATGTTTCTGCCTTGACTGTTCACACTTGTGTTTGAAATCACTCAAATTGGTCATTTGCTTACACATCTCTGCTCTGAAAGGACCCATATGTAGAGTATGAATGATCCATATTGTCGCTGTAATCAAATTATCACATTACTAAACTGTATATAAAAAAAGAGCAACAAAAAGATCATATTTGCAGGACAGTCCATCACTGCAGCAGTCATGCAAAAACCTTCATTACAAAGACTGTTTTGTCATTGTCATATAAAAACCTCATAAACCTCTCAGAAAACATCAGCTGTGCTATATGTTGTGTCAGCACTTCATGATGAATAGACCAATAAGCATGCTCAGAGGCAGAAAGGGCTGGAATGCCATCCTATCCTAACTTTCTGCCTCCAAATGCTCTTACTGATTCTCACTGGCTCAGATTTAAAGCCAGAACTATGGCTGTTCTTCACAAATATGGTTATTAAATTGTTTCATGAAATGAACTATACAGCCTTGTGTTAAACTCACCACAAGTCTAGCCTAAAGCCCATTCAGCCATTGGGACACTGTGGTGCTGCAGGGTCTACACACTCAGTCTCCATGGTAGGGCACTCTGCTGCTGTTCATCAAAATCATAAGCTATGGTAGAAGGGCTGTGCAATTTAAGAAAAAAGATCTAAAAGCAATTTTACCGGCCAATATTGTAACTGCAATTTAAATATGATAACTTTGTATAAGCAGCAGGCCTTTTTCACCAAAAAGACTTTTCTAATTTGAGGCTTGAATGCCAATTGTAGCATGCCTGACTGGCAGTTCACTTGCTCTGCATTATTAGGTTCAATTTCCTCACTTAAAACATGTTAAGAAGACATCAATATCATAAGTGCAATTTCAATATAGCCCTACATGGAAGAATAAATTCAGAGACCTCTAAAAGCTTTCAGCTCTTGAATCTCCTGTATGTTTATATATTGTAAATGCAAGAAAAGGCACTTGATTCAAGCACTTATTTGGTTTCTTAAAAATCTATGTATGTAAAAACATCAATGATCATTTTTTATAAAAACTCGTCAGCGGTTTGCAATTACGCTGAGCAGATGAATAGGGTAGAGACTGTTTTTGCAGCTGTTACTGACATTTCTGTTCAGGGAGGTGTGTAAGAGCAGAAGATGATGGTGAGAAGCACTGTAAAGTGTGTAAAGTGTAAAAAAACAAAGTAAAACAAACAAACGTATTGGATATGTTATGCTAATGTTGCACTAAGACAAAAATAATAAAGTGACTTAAATCTGTGTTCACACAGCTCTGGAAAAAAAATCAGATCTGAAAAAAAATCAGTTTTTCCACAGTAATGTGAACGCAGCAGACCAACTGTCAGTTCAGCTCTTATCTGTTTTTATACCTTTCAGTGGCCGAGGAAATGCCAGCCCAGCTACAAGTCAGCAGTTCCCGTGCCGCTGCTCCACCAGGGCTGCCGCAGCACCCGGGTCTACCGGCCCCGGTATTGCGGCCTGTGCACGGACGGCCGCTGCTGCACACCTTACCATACTCACACTGCCATTGTCCCCTTCCGCTGCCGGGGCGGCCGGCTAATCCACCAAGCCGTCATGATGATCAGTTCCTGCATCTGCCACTACAACTGCCCCTACTCGTCTGGCGGCATCTACAGGAGACCTGCTTTCTGGGGCTAGAGGCTGTGCACTGATTTATATAAAGTCCCATCTCATTCCACAGGCTCCTCGCCGAATGGGCAGTTGGATGTCTTCATCTGTTTCATGCATTGGAAGAATAGCACTTTACACGTATCACACTATTTTTTTTGATTGACTGGAAAATGTCCTTCCATATAAAGAGCTCAAGAATGTGATCAAGTATGCCAGTTGAGATTTGGCTAGCTTGAGAGATAGATGGCTTCTTAAGGCTGGACTGGCCAGTTCTGCACTTATAGCCTGTTTGTATGGAATTAGTTTCGACAAAATATTCATTTTGCCATGAATTTTAGAGAAAAGCGTCATGGAAGCTTTTTCAGATTATCTGTTAACTGTTAGCTAGGTCTATAAGATGGCAGCTATTACTATTGAACTAGTGCCTACAGCTTCCATGTTATACTTGATTACTGTGGCTTGTACAATAACTGCGACTGAGTGATACTCCTTGGTATTGTACTGTAGCTTTGGCTATACGAATGTTAGTTCTGAGTAAAACTGAGACCGGGGCCCATTTTTTCATATGTTATCAGTTGGATTTTGGCTTCTGGTCTGGATTAAATTCTAAAACCATCATTCAGTTCAATCACATGACATGGAACACGAAAGAAAGAAAGAAAGAAAGAAAGAAAGAAAGAAAGAAAGAAAGAAAGAAAGAAAGAAAGAAAGAAAGAAAGAAAGAAAGAAAGAAAGAAAGAAAGAAAGAAAGAAAGAAAGAAAGAAAGAAAGAAACAGCCCCTTAAGCACTTTTAAATGAATTGAACTGACTTGCTGTACTTTTCAGTGTGACTTTAATATCTCTTTAGGCAATTTGTTGAATAATCTGTGTGAGATCTAAATATTTCACAGAACATAAAAAGTAGAACTAGGAGTGGGTGATGTGGTGATATCAACATCCTACAAAATTACACCACCATGAACTTACATGTGTTGTCAGTACTCAGTATTTGAAGAACAGCGATCAAAGGAAAAATGGGAGGTTTCAATGAATACTGAGTCTGTTAAAGTGGCATCACACTCACATCACGACTACATAATAGCTGACTGGATGTTAGACCATTATCTAATGGCTATTATTTTATTTATTTTTTTACCAAATGTGGTTTTCCCTCTGGTTCCTTGTTAAATATTTTTTTTTAAATATAAAAATAAATATAGTTTTTGATAAGACTGAATAAAAAATCTTCAAAATCGCATTTTTAAAAGAATGGCATCACTGTTTTGCTGGTACAGTGTCAGTTTTATAACTAAATATTAGAGTCCAGTTGATATATCGGTTGGCCGATAAAATCGGACCATATTGACAATCTAGTTGGCGGTGATACTGCTAATAATATTTGCAATGGCACTGACCATGGGAATCACTAGGCCAGTTTTAAGTAGGTACTTTAGCTCTCCCAATGTTATTTAGCCCCTCCCAATGCATCTACATTATTAATTCAAATCATCAATGTTTTTTCTCATTCATTCTATATTATTAAACTGGGCTGTCGTATCTCCTAATTCACAATATACTGTGATAGCAGGGGAGGTGCTGCTGCAGCACTAATCCAGCACACAATCAGTAAGAATCTACAGTGGTCGTTGTTTTTACAAGTCTGCTAAGTAATGGGTCCAGAGCTAATTACCTTCTATAGCCCTATTTGAGCTGGATTAGTTTTACCACAGGAAGTTTGGTGATGTCATCTGTAATGGATTCAACTTGTTGATTCAAACAACTGAAATAACTGTGTAATCTACCTCAGATACTCTAGATCGAAATGTTATAGTGCCTAAAAACTCCAGATTATATTCATGAGGTCAGTGAGAGTGAACCGCTGATCAGCTCAGCAACCAGTATCACGCAGTAGCTGTAATGCTATAGCGTCCTACCAGAGAACTTGTAGAGAGGAGAATTATTACCCTGTAATGTCTTCCAGGTATCTCAGACACTAGAGGGCGCTCCGGTGCGAGTCCAAAACGAATGGGTTAAGATGCAGCATTTGAGCAAAATCATAGTTTATAAATTATTAAACATTTTTAATATAAACGAAAACATCATTTTCTAAACACAGAACAGCATAAAACATATCAACTCCGCTGTTATATTTTTGAGAGCTTTTTAACTTGAGGTAAAACATACAGGTAAGTTTTTTTTTTTTGCTTTTTTAGTGAATTACATCTTTCTACTTTCTAAAATTAAAGGAAAGTTTTGGGCAAGTGATTAGAAAGTATTTTAACTTTTTATTGCCATTTAGCTCCATTCACCCCCATTCACTGAGGACTCGTTCGTGGCGTTCTGTTGGTGATATAAGGGGGCTCCTCATAAACCAGCTTTGGTCCCACTACCAGAGCCTGGCCACTTCCTATTTCTCCTGTTATATCAAAAACATGACTGCAATACACCAGAGTGCACCTGCAAGTGAAGTCTAAATGAATGGGGGTGAATGGAGAAAAACAGCTAAAAATGAAAAATGTAACTTGTCTCTAACCATTTATGCGAGATGTTTTTTTATTTTGGGAAGTAGCAGGATATATTACAAAAGACAAAAACTTTGGCCAGTAGGACGGCAGGACTGGTACTGAGTGCTGATTGGTTTGCGAGCTGCTGAGCTCACTGGCTGTGTGAAGCAGCTTGTGCTCAGTGTCATGAGTGTACATGAGTGACTGACAAGTCCTATAACTGGAGTTTCTAAGCGCTCAAAAATGATACAGCGGCATTAATATATTTTATTCTGTTCTGTGAATGCATTTTTCTATATAAAAAGGTTTAAGCATTTACAAACTATGATTTTGCTGAAATGCCCCATATTAACCCATTTATTTTGGAATTGCTCGTGAGCACCCTCTAGCGTCTGACAAACCCAGAAGACATTACAGAGTGGCAGTTCTTCTTAGTACACATTTTCTGCTACTACATAAAACCAAAAACAGAAAGATACAGGTAAGTTTTCTTTCATTTTTAGTGGAATACATACTTCTATTTTGCAAAATTAAAGGAAGGTCACATAAAAATGGTTAGAAACTAGTTTATTTTTTTGTTTTTAGCCGTTTAGCTTCATTCACTCCCTTTCTCTGAGGGCTCGCTCGTGGGCTAACCTTCTTACACTGGCTCAGAAATTACTAGGATGTGGTACTACATTACAGTGAGGTCATCTGAACCGGACTGTTATGACTGAAGGAGCTACGAGTTTGTTCAATTTTAATTTTTACAAGTTTGCTAAGTAATTTTTCCATTGTAAATTATCGAACCCAGAGCTCCCTTAGTAACAGGAGTCCTGTTTGGATCACAGTAGCGTTAACGTAATAACAAAACCTAGCAGAAAACGGCGCCTTCATTTTTATCCTTTTTTCGACCTGAGGACAAGGTTAACTAAGTTACTAAATGAAGCTTAATTTGACCTTATTAATTCCTTAAACCTCAAGTTCATGACAAGACTACTGAAATCCACTGCGTTGTTTGTTTTGAAGTTTTGTGCTCAGCTCTCTGAGGAGGATTAGCGAGCACAGCTAGCCACAACAGCAACGCCTACACAGAGCTCTCCTTAGACCTGTTACAAATGTGAGTAAGCTCTTCTCATGTGTGCATTCAAACTCAGCATTTATAGTTATAGTTTATATTTTATGTTTATTTTATGTTTCTGTTTTATATTTTGTGCTTATATATACATGTGTATAGTGTTTGTGTGACAGAATCTGTTGTCACACAGTAATGAGCAAACCGGTGCGACAAAGTGTCCAAAACTGTTTAATTACTAACGCTACCATCACAAATTCTGTTCTCTATAATAGACCCATTTCACAAGAAACAAGAAGTGCATAAACTCTGGGTAAAACAAGTTCCTCTATTGCCTTAAGGACAGTTACTAACAGAGAACTTGTAGACCACTCAGTCTTCTGGGTTTCTCAAATGCTAGAGGGCGCTCCCGAGCAAGTCCAAAATGAGTGGGTTCAGATGGAGCATGTGAGCAAAATCATAGTTTATAGACGCCAGGCTCCTCATAAACCGGCTCTGGTTACTAAGCTCAGAAATATAGGTGTTCGTATCACTTCAGCTCGCCACAGAAAGTTGTGTCACTTTATCTTTGTTGTAGTTGCCAAGATTGAAATTCGAGTATGTGTCCAGAATGGTTGGAGAACACCAAATATACAACAACATGGGAGTCCTAACTAAGTAAAAAATATAATGAAAAAATTTCTTCAAGCTATCAGAGTACAATAACGTCAGCTAGCTAACATCTTCAGAGCGATAAATCGATGAATAGGTGAAAATAACTATAATTAAAATGCTAGATTAGCCATGTTAGCTGGAGATGTTGAAACAGTTTGCTAACAATAAACTAGTTAGCAAAAAGCTAAAAAGGTGCACATTCCGGCAGGGGGGAGCGCCAAGGCGTCATGGCAATATGATGAACAGGTAAACACGAATGCAAAACACTGGTATTTCTGAATGAGTAGTTGAATACTCATTCTCAAGACTACCCTTAACTTACGCCTTTAATTAAGTTAAGCGTGTTCATTAGTGCAGTTAAAAAGTATACCCAGAAGGTGGCAACAATGTATTAACGATGTTTTGTAAAGTGTTAATAATAATCATTTCTACTAAGACAGAGTTCTTTCTTAACTGTTAGAACTTCTGTGACACAAAATACACACAGATGGGTGAAACATTTACAGTTTAATATAAAGCATTTGGTAAAAGGAGAGATAAATGTATACAGTAAAGACAGAGAACAAAGTAAAATAGACAAACTGACTAATGTAATATGAGAAACTCAAGAGATATTTGTAAACAGACAGTACTGTTAAGTTGCCTGGAACCAAGGTGCGAAATACAGGGGGGGTCCTGGAGGTCCTGGACTCCCTAATTAACCTCTTAGACACCTTGAATAAACTTATTATGACGTTATGCTGTCCGTTATGGTGAAATAGACACTCAAATACAAATTCAGGGAAAGGCCATTGTTTAGCTGCTTCACCCACAATCGGTGAGCTTCTGTCATTGATATTCTTAACTAACTAGAGATGCAGCACTTGTCTGCCTCAGGATGGTGCTGTAGCAAACAGGTTTTCCCTGTTGATCCTTTATAACCTAGAAACTGTAACTATGCCCAGAATACATCTGAAAATCTTTACAATATGCCATAGCAAATATGCAAATCAGAAAAAAATTTCCCAAAAGATTGGTGAAAAGAGTGCTTTAATACTCATTTCTCAAACTGAAGACAAAGAGGAGATGTAAGATTAATATGTAGAAGACTGCATTATCAAACTAGAAAGAGCATTTCCAAAAGAGGAATTGTTAAACCAAACACTTGCTGCCACTGAAGCTCTGTGGCGAGTGAGTTAGCAGCCAGTCAACGCTGAAATAACCAGCCAACATGGAAAACATCAAATATGAAGGGATATTTCACACACTGCATGAAACCAAAAACAGGACTAATTAATTCCTTATGTAAGATGATAAACACCAATGATAAACTTATCTGCAGATAAGTTTGTCACCAAATTTGATTTTAGAGGGTTTACAGCATCTCGAGACTTCCCACCATGCCAATATTGGAGGAGTAGCTTATATTTACACTCAAGTGTGTCCTTGGGTTCTGTGACTCAGGTCTCAGCCAGTGGCTTCCATCAAAAAAGTCCATCTTCAGGAATTGAGAAGGACAGAAACAAGTACCATTCCAGAATTTTGCATGCGTTGTCTCATCTTCTGTGGAGTAAGAATAATGGGATCAGCCGACATGTTGGAGGTGAACGTTCTGTCTCTAAAGTTGGTGACTTAAATCAAGAAGTCCTTGAATTCACAACTTCAAAGAAAACAAAGAAGGTGCTGTGACTTTTAGTGGGGTTAAGCGTGGGAAGCAACCCAATCCTTGTCACATTCGTTCCTCAATGCTGACTTGCCCTCCTTCCACATGGGAGGGGTTTGGGATCCTCCTCCAGTCTTCATCACGCCCATCAGCTTTCCTTGTTATCCTGGACATAAAATGTAGATCATTCCAATGTCTCCAGCATGATTTTACCTTTAATTCGAGATTGAATGTGGCATGCTTTGTACACTTCAAACACACTTGAGGGAAAAGAATGACTTACACATCCGTATGGCATCATTTCATGATAACGTCACATGACCTGTGAAATGTCCATGTTGATGTTACTAATGGAAAACGGTCTTTTTGTGAAAACAGGATGT